TGATATATCCAGTAATATTAGATAATTGATACTGAGCAGCATTTACAAGAGTTCAACATTACATAAATTTATATAATAATATAATAATTATATAGACAAGTTTAGATATATAAAAAGTAAAAAAATTAAAATCATTAATTTTTCTACAAATTTTTTATAATTAATTTTTACTTTTTAGTTTTCTTAAAAAAAATCCTACTTTTTAGTTTTCTTAAAAATTTTAAGGAATTAAATACTTATGAAATTAACACAATAACTATCTTAAGTTAAGATAGTCCTAATATATAAATACATATAATAATAAGCAAATTAATAAAATAATTTTCTAAGAGTTTTGAAAAGAAAAAACTACTAATAACTTTAATAATTTCATTACGCCACCGAAGCAAAGCCGAATACCATGTTATTCATAATTCATTGCCGAAATATTTTACGTATTATGACATATACATATATACAAAATATTAAATTATACAAGTATATATTTTAATAATTTTAAAGATGAATTTTCTCGCAATTTCGACTTTTTATTTAGAATTCTGGGTAGCATTCCACGAGATATAAAAGGAACTCTTAACATTTTTATGCTCCAACTAATATTGCAAGAGATATCACCGTTTACCGTATCACATTTTTTGAAAACCTCGCAGTATACCTATCATTGGACGATCGTATGACCGTGAAAAAATTAATTAACTTTGTTAATAATTAAAAACTCCTTCGAATTCGAAAGAACACGGTTAAAACTATAGGAAAACATAATAATTATAATAGAATATATCTATATACTAATATATTCTATACTATTCAATAATAGATCTATACTTAAAATATAAATGAAAGAAAAAAAAATTAAATTAAAATTTAATAAAATTTAGGTTTGTATTATTTAAGTTTCTATTATCTTGTTTTTACTTAAAATCTAAGTTTCATTTTAAAATTTTAATACAATATTTTTTTTTACAAAGATTAATGCAAATTTATGCAAGCTTTTATGACGTCGAATATATAAGCAATGTCTAGTTCTCATTCAATCAATAGTGGGTTATCTTTTGCACATGCATATAACAAACGAATTATGATGGTCAAACGAATCGTATGTATGCATATATGTACGCAGGTAGTGTATACAGGTGGGAGCCTTACTCTTAGCCCTTCGGAGCCATGCATCGACGTTCAATGCCGACCCGGAGGAGAATAAAAGATGAGAAGTGCGAAGAGGGAACGAGAATAGTCCGAGCCCTTGTAAGACACGTGAAACTGACCAATAGATCCGGTTTAGCGAGTTTCCGGATTCCACGGGGTCATCGGGTGGGCCCCTCGGTCTGCGCAAAGAGCGGTACCTCCGTTATCGCCCCTCTTTCGGCTTCCCCGTTCACGCTCGGGGGAAAAAGAGAGACAGAGAGAGAGAGAGAGAGAGAGAAAGTGTGTGTACGGAAGGTCCGGTCGCAGGACCTGCAACCCCTTGCAACTGTTCGTCTTGTAGTGCGCGCACTGTCCATCCGCATACATTACCGCGAAATCCGGTTTTCGACAATACCCGATGTGCTGCCCTCGCGGTGCCCCCGATCATGGGTCATGCCTGGGTCCGAATAGCCGGAGTAAGAGGGCCATCCAACCTGCCACGGACAGTGTGAGACCGCGGAACGGAATGGAAACGAAAGTTTGCGAGATCTGCCTCCGTTCCTGCCGGCAAAAATAAAACCTGGACTTTTACGTATCTTTTATTAACTTTTTTTATTTTAGTTCTTTGAAGTCTTAATGATGACGAAATTCAGAATAGAATTTTATTTATTATTTTACGTATATTTTTTAAGATATATACATGTGTGTGTATATAATCTCTGATTCTTCAAATATTTTTAATATACTCGTAAATAGAATTCTGTCAAGAATCATAAAGCGAACTTATCGAGATGCATAATTAAGAGTGAGATATAGACTTATTATTTACTTATAATTGTTAATTATATAAATAACACAGAATGACAGAGAATTAGAGGTTAAAAGAGCTTATAATTCATTAGAACATAGCGTTAATAAAGGATTTGCAGTTTTCTGAATATTTTAAATACTTGAAACGAAACTAGAAATTCTTAAATAATCGTCTTATGTAAATAAAATCCGATGTTTATGGACACGAGATACGCCTTGCCCATCGCTCGTCCGTACAGCAGCAGTCTCCCCTTCCTCCCGTGATGTGCGATGCGCAATGACCACTCGCATGTATACACGCACACATTATCACTGTCCATCGAAATCCGGTTTTCGACAATACCCGGTGATACGCGCGAACCAGGGTTTCGTCGACGGGTCACCCTCCCTAAAGAGAAGGCAGAAGAGACGCGGCACAACCTGCGACAAGGCTCGTGAGACCGCGATGCTAAAGGATATGTACAGACGCGGTGGGATATGTATGGGACAGTGACCACGGTCTCACTGTCCGGCCGTGATGACGACGACGGTCCGCAGATTTCCTTTGGGGATGACCATCGATGACCGGGGGTTGCGCGCGAGCGACTTCTTTCTCGTTTCTTTTTTTTTTCTCTTTTATTTTCTCCGCTGTCGCCACCGGTCCGGTGGGAACGAAAACCTGATCGGGGGAGTCTTCGTCCACTCTCCGGATCGTCCTGCACCACTTCGTCATCGCGAATGCAAAGGAGAGAAAGAGACGGGAGACGGGGGATGGACAGAGAGGACAGGCGTGAAACGTTTGAACTTACCAACCCCGTATAGACATGTGGTGCGCGCAATGAGAGACTTTTAGCGGCCCAGTAAGATCCGTTGCCACTTTCGTACGTTGTGCGCCGAAGGGTCATGGGAAAACCGGGTGAACCGGACATTGGTCACGAACGGAACTGAGCTTCCTTTGATAAAGGCTCTTCGCGACGCGTGGAGAACATTACGACGCGCGAGCCTCCCTGTGTGCGGGGCTACTCGTCTCCTTCTCCCCGAACCGATTCCGGCGAATTAACGTTCGTCGCGAGAAAGGGATGGAAAAGAAAAATTGCGGGGCAGTTACATCCGAGACTTTGTTCGCGAGCCGTCTGTTCGATGACGGTTACCAATTTAGTTCTAACCGCCGTCTCTAACGTCTCGCGATGACCGAGATTTGTTGGCCTAACCTTCGGTATTAACGGCTAGGACTTTAACGAACACGCGGGATGACAGTTGATACGTAAAGGCCAACGAATTCTCTTTAAGACTCCAACGTCGTTTGAAAACTTTCCTAGATACTAACGGCAACTTGTTACATATAATTAGAAAATTTATCATTTATTTACAATGCCGCGCAGAATGACTCAGGAAATAATTGAGGAAATTAAAATCTGTTGAAAATACTGTTGCGGAATAATTGCAACATGCTGTTACGCAAGTCCAGTATGAAAAGGCATTCGCTTATTATCGATTTGCTGGAATATGTCAAACTGCCATTTTTTTGCATCGGGACGCATAGAATTGCGGGAGATGTGAAGTGTATTAATGGACGAAGCGTGTAAGTGCAAAATACTTCGGGAATTGTTCGGGAGATTGATCTTTGAACGACTTGCCTGGCAAAGAAATCGATCGAGGAAATTGACTTTTTTTTTCTGCGCTCCGATAGATATCCGCAATAAGCGGCACCGCCGCGATAGCCGTATGGAATTTAACGTATTGCATAAAAGCGATATTACTCTCTGCGCCGTTTTGCAAAAAAAGGAACAGCTCACCCGCGAGATATATCGCGCAATGATACGAACGTTAACTCGTAAGATAACGCACAAAGCTACATTATCAATCATTAATAATCGTATAACGTTCCGTTTTCGACATGCCGCTATTACTCTAAACCGAACGAAACAATACACACATTTTGACAAAAGGATCTCACCATTTTACACGAGAACGATATATTTCGTTGAAATATTGACATAGGCCAAATGTTTCCCGGTAGAGTTATATCATAACGATACTGGCTTAACGTGCTAATTAACTCGAGTGGAGAATTGAAACCCAGTCAGCTCTAAGATCCTTCGCACCATTGACAAGAGTTAAGAACGTCGTAGAAAATTACACTCCGATGCAAATTTATCATAATAAATTTATCGCGCGGTGATAAAACACTCACACATTGATTTTTTTTTTATGAGAGAATAATTCCTCATGCTATTGGCGCATGGGAGAATAAACCGGCAACGATCATTGTCAGACATCAGGGCCAGACAAAAAATTATTTTCCTTGAAACGTACGACGGCGAAACTTGAAGACATTTGCCACGCGTGTTATCGCACTATGTACAATTAGATCATTAATTAGCGACTAGTTGTAAAGGAGATTTGAATGTACAATATATTATATATATATGTACGGCATGATAAATCAGCGTTTTTCCCGCGGGGGTCACCGACCAACGAGACCATTGACCATTGACCGTCAGGCTTAGCGAGGCATTAATGACTGCGTGTCCAGCCGTGATGCGAACGCTTAGAAGAAACATTATTCTATTCGCGGGATATATGAGGCTAGAGAACCGCTATTATGCACGTCATCGGGCGCGCTGCGCAAGAAATTCCTCGGGCGTCAATCGGCAATTATAAATTCCACGGGACTGTCGAACTATCGCGGCAGCTCCGATATACCGTAACAACGCGATTACTGGTCGTTTATGCATTCGTAATCCTTTCTCCACGTTCGCGTTGCGCGCAATCGTCCTCGAGTATTAATCGACGCGCGCGAGCGCACATACACACACATACGTATACGTATATGTAGCCGACCGTTTTTAACCGAACGTCGAATCCGGTTTGCGCTGCTTTGTTCGCGTCGCCAATAAATGATCGTTCCCCTTAATACCTCAATTTACCGCCGATTTTCTGCCCTAACTGCCCGTACAGGCGCTTATCGTCGTCGCTATACGTATCATTGGCTACTAACCGTCTTTCAGTCGTGTTCCTTGATGATCGATTAATAATAGGCAATACATGGCGTTCCACTTTCGTATCTGGCAGTCACGATAAAGCGTTCTCTTCCTCGTGTGCTCCGTACGCGCGCGCGCGCGCGCGCGAATCGCCTTAATTAGCGTATCTCGCGGAAGTTATCGAAAAATCTCGAGCGTTGCGGATAACGCTCGCTACTACAAACTCGACTTATTTACGAAGCCTAATTGACCACACCCGATACGTCGCAATCGAAATAATCTTAACTATGCAAGAAAAAAAGACCGAATATATATCTTTTGTACATTGGTTATGGATTTATATTGTACGGTAATCGTTAATATCCTTTTACATAGCCATTCTGCGAAGAAACTAAATTTACTTAGTTGTTAATTATTATACTCTCAGTTAATCTGTGTAATCTCAATCTACGATAATTCGAATTTCCAGCAATCCGAAGTATTTCACAGATATATACATAGTATTCGTAGTATTTAACAGATATGTATCGAGAATCTATCGCGCATTCTCGGAATTTACCGCGAAATTATATAAATCTTTTGTAAAACTAGCGTATATAATTTTTTCAAGCATTCTTTTAATTCTTTCAAATTACGGTTGCAATCTTCTCTCGTTGGCTATGCGACATATACCAGATTAAAATCTTAGGGTCTCATTGCGTCGATTTGTCATTCAATAGTGACGGTGGTACTAACCGGGGACTCTTCAATCATATCGCGTTCCGCCGTACCCGAAGCGCCCGCGATTACAGATAATGCTGGACCGGCGCGCGGGATCGCTGCAAGCCGGACGCTACAGGAGAGGACGTCGGTAAATCCGAGCGAAGGCAACAACACTCCCGGATCGATCGAGATCCCCAACCATCCGCGTCACGTGCGTTTACGTCTCTCGCCGTAGGCTGTAAGCCGATTTTCTATCGTGGCCGCGTTTCGCGCGGCGCGCATCGCATTAGGAGAGGGACCATTAGGGAGAAATCGCGCGTCCATTCATAATCCATTCATAAATTAGCTCAGCCTAGGGAGGATAATGGCACGTAAGGATTCCCCCTTGACCTGCGGACCGGTCGGTCGGTGGACGAGGGATATAGTCGCGAACGAGGAGAAGCGTATATGGTGGAGAAGGGCCGAGGAGAGGAGGATGTATACTTGAAGATCGGTTACGATCCACCGCGATTCCGCTCTCGGGCGGATCGTCGCGCCGCGATGGAATTTATGCGTTTAGGCGTCGCCTGCAAAACGCTGATGTATACGGCCTCGTATAATGTTGCTATCGCGGCCGACGGCATAATGGCTCTCTCGTCCCGCGAGAATGACGTCGTACGTTTGCGACGGCGCGGGCTATCGGTAATTATTTATCGCCCGATCCCCGAATGGCCGTAGCGTGTATAGGATCGTTTCGTGAATCGTGTTATCTCGACGGTATATCCGCGCGATCTTCTCTCCCTTTTCTTCCCTCCCATCACTCGTCACGCGGTTCCGCATCAATTCCTTCTTAATCCGCTTTGACGCTGCTGATGAGAGAGCCCCTATATGGTGTTATCTGTCGCGTACGGCGTTTTACGATGTCATATACAGATATAATACGTAAATGTATTTATGTGCGTTCCACGCAATGTTAATAATGCGCTTTATGCGCAAACATCCGAACCTTCAAGTTCCTTAATATAACATATAGATTTAGGCACTTATTAAATATTCTGTCGTATTTTTATAAATAACGTAATGATAACTAATGGCGTATAATGATAATTACTTCGAATAGATTATATCTTTGTACGCACGCCGTCTAATTAGGATTTTATGGTAGATATTAAGTGTATAGATAATGAATACCAAGATACACACGTAGGAGCGAAGTCACTTCGTCATTTTCTTCCCAAGCAAGATATCCTACAGCATTTTAAATTGATTACATCTTAAAAGCGTTAGAAATATACCACGCATCTCGCTGCGTAGAAGATACATTATCCAATATATTACGACTACGTGTAATTATCGGACTGATAGCGCTGAACAACGGCTAACAACGCCAATCGCAAGGACAAGATTATGAGTAATTAGTCAGTTATCGGCCGATTCTAAATCATTGTCGCTCGAGACATCGATGAGGCTCGCGAGCTCTCTATCTCGGTTATCTCTCCCTCATTTTTTATTCCCGCGCTTCTTAGCGCGCCCCTTTAATCGCGCCGTAGCTTTATACGTCTCGCAATCAGGATCATAGGATTTTACGACGACCCGCGTGCAAAGAGCAGTGCGTAAATATACACCACATCTGCGTGACGTTAACGTCAGCGTTGCAACATCGTGGCGAAGGAAACCCGCGTGGCACGCAGCGTAAATTACCGTAAGTAGATCTTATACAATCTGTCAGTTGTAAGATCGGTCTTGTCACCGATCGCCCTTACGATTCTTCGCGGCTTAGCCTCGGTCATTTTTATCATCGGTATTTATCACGTATCTCCTCCATCCTTCCATACCACGTTCGTGCTTTCGTCGGTGTAATCGATGACGTCCGGCGATACTACGACTTATATACTGTTGCGTGACCTAACGGTGGTCCGCCCTCTGTAATTTCGTTCGATTCTATCGCAGAATTTATACGGTGGAAATATGTCGATAAAAACCGATAAAGAGAACAGTCGCGCGTAATGCGATCACGTTTCGAGCTGCCACGTTCGACGAGCCGTTAAATCGGTATATGAAGAAATATATGTTTCTTTTATTAGAATTTTTTTTTTTCATTAGAATGCTTCCTTTATTTATAGAAATAACTATTAGATTTTCCACGATGGTTTCGAAGGATCTAGAACCGATAAACTCCTCTTTTTTATTCAGATGTGACAGAGACTCGTACTTCGATGATTAAACGAAAAATAATTAATTTGATAAAATAGATGGACATGTACAACTAAAGCATTTTAATTCTCTAAAAATCACTTGATAATATGTTAAAAGTTTCTAATCCTTCCGGGATCTTTTTTTTTTTAATAAACTTCGATTATATAATAGCATGCATTTGTTACTTACAATATACTATCTCTTTGTATACTTTTGTAACTTAACAAGTTTCGACCACATGAAAATGCATTTCTACAGCTTGCTCTTACACGGATTGTACCGAATGTGAGTCACGCAAGTGCGACCGAAAAAGAAGTGAAGAATCCATGATGATGCATCAGTATTCTCTCTCTCGGCATATCAGAATGACGCAGCACGGTCCCCGATATATGCCATCGATACTTTGGATTCTTGATTGTGTAGGTAGATAGATAGATAAAATGCACGTCCAAAATCGTAAAAAGAAATCTACTATTTTGAAACGCGTTTGTCGATCCGTCGAAAAAATGTCAAATTCATGACTAACAATGAGATGCTACAAAAGAATATTACAAACACTAGAATTACTATCAGAAATACTGTACAAAATTTTAATGAGATCGACAATTCAATAATTATAAACTACAATTAATAAATTTAATTTATTTAATCATATTTCCCTATTTTAAGTTTTGATATTTAATTTTATAACTAGTAATAATCAGCTTCTTTGCGAATATAAATTTAGCTTTTTTTTTACATTTTACATACAATTAGAATTGTGTCGATGAACGGAAATTTCGAAGCTGCGCATTGTCGACTATCAATTGATACAGTAAGTTGATATCGCATTAACGGTATTAAAATGTCGAGGCTGAGTAAATATTCTTGTAGCGATATTCACGACAAGGACAAGCCACATCGCAACAGGAAGAAACCGACTGTTCGGTTGATCATGATAATTAATGGGTACCGAAAAAATGAAGTTTGATAGAATACCTTCAGTCAATTTTACAATATTTCATTTTTTAATGAGCAATATTTTTATCCGATAAATATTAACATACGCATATTAATTATAAGATAAAATTTTAAATTTTCTGATTGAAAGAAATAAAAAATAAAATTCCGAAAATTAAAATTAAATATACATAATAAAACATTGTCAATATTTGACTAAATTATAGTTCTTAAATTATAATTAACTGTTCTTACTGTGAAATCTCTCTTTTTTAATTATTTTCTCAAATAATTTTTGTAAAAAATAAAATAAAAAGAATTATAGCTTAAAAAAATATCGTCGGATAGCCACTAACACAATGTTTACATCATTCGGAATGAATGCGAGAAAAGGAGGAAAAAATCATTACAGCAGCGTCCAGTCGAATATATCGAGACGGCGAGAACACTAAGTGCATTTAATCCCAACCGCAGAGAGAAAGAGAGAGAGCGGCAAAAAAGGGCAAAAATCGGCTCATTGGCCAAACCGGCGGCGCACGCGGAGTCCCGAAGCATAAAGGGAGGAATCGGCAGCCGCAGGAGAAGACGAGGAAGATGAGAAGAAGAAGAAGAAGAAGAAGAAGCAGAAGGAAAGAAACGAGAAAAACGAAGAAGGGAGAAGAGATGAGGAGAGAGTCTTGGCGCATCGGTCCCCTTCGTCCGCAACGTGGGTGCTGATTACGGTCGGCGGATTTGAATCGCGACGCGATGCGACGCGACGCGACTTTATGCACCTTGATAGCTAGCTGCACCGAGAGGCGGCACCGCTACACACAACGATGAGAGAGTCTACCTACCTACCTACCGAACGAGAAGTCGTGGACCCATTGGCCACCGCAATGACCAATCATCATTTGACATTCTTTCACCTTGCGCGCGTGTTACCATCACACTCTCGGTCGCAAAACCACGCGTGTACGTATGCACGTGTCGCACGCGACACATCGAGAGGACGGCACGTTACCACTACCATTGTCACCGCTCTCTCACCGACTGCACACATATCACCGACCGACGCGACGGTCGAGGCATCGGGGAGATGCAGGCGATCCGGAGCATCTGACACCCAGCAATGCTGCGCGAGACACATGCAGCTTGCTTTGCATCGTGCTTATAGCGTGCGTCGCGCACGGTAGCCGGCGTGAGTACAGGTTTATTAGGAAAAATATCTTGGAGTCACTTCGAATTTCAAGTCACGTCTGATATATAGCGCATACGTCCCGAGTACATACGTCGATGTACTCTCCTGATTTTAATGCTGAGTCGCGTCGAATGATGCTATTTATGGAACCGATTAACAACGTAGATACACGAGAGATCGGTCTTAAAAATGGTGTATACCTACCGGTAGCGCGATGCTTTTCAGCGGGTGATATGTGTTCAGCGCTAGTGCTTGGCGACTATCAAATTAATCACCCGAGAGAGTACGAAGTTAGATTAATCTTAACGTTAGAAGAGAGTACAGGCGTTGATGTCTCCTGCAAGGCATAGGCATAGAAATCACCAGTGTTGAGTTTGTTGAAAAAAAAAACACGAAAAGGATTTCGAAATAAAATTAAATATACATGATCAAAAATTTTAGTAGTCGTATTCTACTAAATTATAAGTCTTAAATTATAATAAATTGTTTTTTATTGAAATCTTAATTCCAAAACTAATCATCGAAATATTTAGCACGAAAAATCGAGCAGTTACAACAAGCGCTTTTGATTTAATCATATACTCATTCTTAATGAATGGGGTTTTCCTCACTGATATTCTACGTAAACAGATTTCTCGTAACGCGATATGCTATGCATGGGTGTGCCTCTTTCCATTTCGCGAGAGCGCCTTTCGCCAATGCGCTGCATACGAGTATAGGAATGTTGGGCCGATCTCCTTACCAATTCGCGATACTTGATCTCGACTACGGAATTTCATTGACTACCGTCGGTTAAGAATCGCCTCGGCCTCCAAACCGGATGAACTTCGGCTCCACTTTGAAAAGACTTGACCGGTTTATTGGAAGCGACATGAGTCATTCAGGACCATTATCGTCCGATTTATATGCTGGTGAAATGATCGAATAAATACGAGATACCAAGTATTTGCTAAAAGAACAATGAAATATAGAAATTATTTACCATACATTGATACGTTATATATATATCTCTCTCTCTTGCCAACATTTACTATAATAAAATTTCCAAAACTTTTAATATTCTTTTAAAATTATTATTTATTATTTCTTTTTATCTACGTTCCACTTTATTAAGAAAAAAAAATTGAGTGACGTTTTTGAAGGCTTTATGATTTTAAAGAGTTGAATAAACGATTAAGACTTAAGAACGATGAGAAACGTCCATGATCAATTAAAGAAAGAGTTGGCATGCATTCGCACACGTGAATACAGACGCAGCTTGTTTACTTCCTCAAAGCGCCATTCCAACAGTCAAGATAATATTTGTGGTCACGAAGTCTCGTGTGCACCATGAGGTATATATATACATATATCAGCGCGCGACCCTCGACAATTTACCATGCCAGAATTGAAATCAAGATCGTTACCAAGGTCTTCTGCAAATACTTAAAAGCAGGATGTTTGTCAAATATCGTTTCCAACGAGATTATATACGCGCATGCGAAATGGTATCTTATCAGAATTTGAATAATATCGAGTCTACCTTCATTAGAGAAGTTTCATTAATTGATAAATATATTCACGTGCATATACGATGATCATTAGTTACGGTAATTACGATTCGCTGCTGTTTGCTCATCCTAAATCCAGTTGCTCCGTGATATATACATATATGTGCGTGTTACCGATGCACACGCCTTGTCACCGGAGACTTGGGGCATCAGGGACACGGGCCGAGGGTTGTTGACTCGACAACACTCGGCGAGCGATGGAAAAACGCTGATTCTTAGGCATTCGCAGCGTATCAGCTACATATATACATCCGATTCCGCGGTAGCACACGCCAGACCAGTTCAGCGAATTGAGCAGCTCTACTTGCCATATCCTGCCACATCCTGCAGACATTTCCCTGCCTATTACGGACCGCGATGGATCGCGGCCTCGGGCAAAGAACTGTTCAATGAAATTCTTCGCCGCGAAAACTCGCCTCTCGAGCTCGCCCGTTCCGGGAAATATATCGCGGAATTCGATTCAGTCGCCATTGCACAGCAGGAGAATCGCGAGAATCGCTACCTTTTATTAATCAACGGTAGCCAATGAGAGAAGTTTTCAACTATAATGCGTTAAGTTCAGTTTTAGACTAGAAGCGTTGTAGAAAGATCGTATAAAACTTATATCTTGTAAATCTGAAAAAATTAATATTTCTATATGTATAATAAATAATGTCATTTTTAAACCATATTTACAGATTTTATTAAATTGATGATTTAGTACCTGTTACGTACGTAAAATATAACAATTTAAACATTTTTAAATTAAAATTGAGAAAGTGAAATGTTAATGCTTATTACAAATGTTGCTAGAGTTCATTCAAAAGATAATACCATATGCGATATAACTGGTATTTAAACATAGTCAAATCTAAATTAAATTTTCTCATGCTTATCTGATGTAAAATTGTTAAGTGATTTACAGAGCGTGGCGCAAAAAGAATTTTGACGTACACCAGCGAGACACATCGACTAGTTAAATACACGATAAAAACTATAAGCTCGTATGGACGGCCGACATACGACCTCGAACCTTGATATAAATTTATGAGAGAGAAGAGAAGGTAAATCTACCTTTCTAAAGGTAAGGTACCTCTCCAATCGTAAGGAAAGTGGGATATATCTGTGTATCAGAATGTATGTAAAATGTGTATCAGAATGAAACTATAAACGCGCGTCGTAATACGCATGATATTTAGTTAACTATGCGTAGTTAACTATGCGTCACGGTTCACCGCAGAAACAACAATTACATGAAAAATGATTATTGCGCGGCATGAAGGTCGTTGCGGAGTAACGACGAGAATCGCTATACCTGGAGAGAGAGAAAGATATTTACCTGGCTTATCCCACTGGATTCTAATATTTAATAGCTTATAGAAGTTAATGTACCGATTAAATGCAAATTCGCTGCCGGCGATTATGCGCAAACATCACAGATGCAGCGTCACGCAGAAAGATCGTATAAACGCTCCGATATATTGTCATCGAATACCGAAATATCGCATACATGTCGGCATCATAAAAAGAAGGATTGATCTATCAGTTTATTACACCTTGAGCGAAAAGGAGATTAATGTAAAACTCGACGATATTGTTTACTTATGGTATATAATCCGCTGTAGATAGCGACAAACAGTATCATAAGAATAATTCCGCATAGAATGATGAAGGTGTATGTATTAGGTGACATAATGATTTACTAACAAGTACTTGTCACACAAAACAAGCGTGACGTAATTCTAACGCGCGCTCGAGTATATAAGAAATCGCGCGTTACACTCCTTATAAAAGTTACTTAGTTATATCACAGGCATCGTACGATTAATGACGATATAGCGTGCGCGAAAAATTTTTTAGCTCAAATATAAATAAGTATTTCTTATGCTATGAAAGAGAGAAAGAAGAAAAGAAAGTCTTCGCTATACATTCTGATTCCCTAAGGCCCTAAGGATACTAATTTTTAGTGTTCATTGTCCGCTACTCATTTTAGGTCCAAAATCATGGACGCCCATCGCGCAGCATTAACAAACGTGAGGAGGCGCCGCATTGGCGTGGATTATCTTTGCTTTTCTTCACTCTGCTTGGTACGTCCTAACGATAGTTCCGTTGATTCCCTCTCTTCGTCTCGGGACCCGCTGTGGCCAACTGGCCGCACGACCGTCGCTAAGTGGCTGCGCGACCGGCGCATTAGTTACGGCCGGGTCAGTAATGACGTTTTCATTCTAATAAATGGTGCGTGTGGAGATGTGCGGGAGCGAGAGGTCGGTGAAGGAAGAGATGAGGATAACGCCCGAGGTGGAGAAAAACGAAGGGAGATAGAGCGAGGAGCGAGTGGGTCGTTGTCCAGAGACGACGATGCACCCTCGCCCTTCCTTTCCCGCCCAATCTTCCTTCCACCCGATGCTTCGTCCCCCCCCCCCTTCCTCCTCTCACTCTCTTTCTCTCTTATGCACGCAGGTCGGTGACGTCTCGATGGTTCTTTTGCGCTAAACCATCTCCTCCTTCTCCTCATCTCGGGTGGAGGATTTTCTCATCATATGGAGGACGCGTCAGCTTCTTCGAGAGAGGCGCCCTTGGCCCTCTCCGGACCTCGCATATGTGTACGCGTGCGTGTGTGCGTGCACGAGCAGGCACACGCGTTCTCCACTTCCTTTCGCCGCGTCTCTCGTTCGTTCGTTCGTACGTACGTACGTACGTACGTACGTTCGGTCCTGAAGAGTCGATGGAAGGAAGGCCAACGGCGGCAAGGGAAGAAGACAGGGCGTGGTCGCGATCTCCCGCACCGCGAAGCGCATTTATTCGGTCGAGAAATTTCTCCCGCGTTTCCTCTGCTGTCACTGTCACTGACATCGTCTTTCCTCTCTCAACAGATTAAAAAAAATACTTAAAAGCAGCAATTAAACTGTGTCCCCTCCTTTCTAAGATCTTGACATACATCCGTAATAAATTTTTCTTGCTATCCTTTCGATAATGTATTGAAAATATATTAATATAAATATTATTATATATTACTAATTAACAAAATTGTTTAAAAAATACATATATATATGTGTATATATTTCTTTTTTTTTTTGAGATATAATTAAGTTTCTGTTTGAAAACCCTAAAGGCGTATGTTTCATATGCCCCTGTAATACCTTTAATCCAATTTTTCATTATCCCTTCTCAACGCTCTTTCCTTTGCCCAGTTTCCGATAGATTCCTTGGCGTACGCCCTTTCTCGTTTTCTTTCCATGCTTTCCAATCGGCGGCTAGAGCACGCAGCGCACACGCATGCGCGTATCGAATCGCATCGGAAGACACGTCATGCGTGGTCACGCATTTCGAGTCTCGATCGCTTCGTCTCGTGGAAGAGAGACGGAGAACGACGCAATGAGGATGGCTCGCAACGAAGAAACGAAAATAGCGAGAGGGATAGAGAAAATGGAAGAGAGGAGAAGGAGGACGAGGAGGGCAGAATATCAGCGCGAGGAGAAATAAAAACAGCCCTCTTCTGCTCCTTATCTTGTTCTCTCTCTTTTTCTCTTCGTTCTTTCCTTTCCATCTTGACAGAGCCACGTCCACTTTATGTCGAAAAAGAAGACACGAGATGGAGTGAGGACGAGATTCAGGAAATTTACGCCTGGATGATTATCGCTCGATCGAGGATCGATAGGCATCCGCTCGGCTAGATAACTCTGTAGCGGATGGATTTAATTACCAATGGAATATTTAATCGGCTTATCTCAGCTTTCAGCCGTGGATGCTTTCCAGGCTGAGATAGAAATACTATGTTGTTACTCTTGTGGGGGATACTTAGAATTAATTTAGATAAATTCATACTGATTCAAGTATGATGGTTTCTTCTTTCCTTCGTTCCTTTCAAGAGTTTGTCATTTTGTTGCCATAAATCCATCTACTTCGTATGACATAAATTATGCATAAATGTCTTAAATTGTTGACCGTGACATGAGATGAAATAACGTCATTACAACAAGGCTAATAAAAAATTATCAGCTATTACTTAATGTATTTAAAAATAATAGATTTTTTATTGTTTATGACATTTTTATATTTTTCTAAATTTTTTAAAATCTGGTGTCAAAGCGTTATATCGTCATATTTATAATTTTTCTATGATTTCTATCATTTAGTACATGTTTATACATTTATAAAAGAAAAACAATAAAATAAATAATGATTATTCCCAGCACGCACATAAAATGCACATTACTTTTTATTATCGAAGAAATTACCAAGACATTGCATATTAATCGATTTGCACAACAAATTCCAAAAATGACCTCGATTCTGAACACCATATCGCGTATGGAATCTCTTCAAGGCCTCACCAAATGAGACCCGGAATCGAATATCGTCATATATTTCATGAAACTCAAACGAGATTTTCGATCGTATGAGAGATCTCGTTTGGTCTCCACCTTTCTTTCTCTCGCTAAGCTTATCATCAAACTTCATAGTTGAGAAGATTCGTTCCTCGGTCTTTATATTTCGAGATATTTCCGCTTTCTTCATTAACGATGATCATTTATAAACAGATTTCGTTAATTAAAACAGTTTACGCTTGTCCCGAATAACGTAAAATCGCATAGTCCATTAAGATTTCCGTCGAATTCTACAGGAAATTTATCTGTTATATCTGCGTTTAAAAATTTATGGCTTTATTCTTCAAGAATTTCTCTTTTTGATGCTGCGTAACAGTACGATACATTTCGTTACATTTCATAAAAATGGAAATAACTTTTGTTGCAGTTGAACCAATAATATAATATCCGTGACGAAAGGTCTTTATAATCGCATATAATTCGCGCAAAGAGAAAATTCCCGCCGCGCTCATCCAATCTCAATATTGTAACCGTGAATTATTAAAAATACCTTATTTTGTGTCACATAGGATGAGATGAAAGAGAAGAGGAAGAAAAAATCAAGAACCGCCGTTGTGTTCTGTTCGTGTACGGACAAGAGCTAAGGACCTCTCATTACAAATCCCGTGCGAAGTATTTGATTACCGACGACGATAACAAATTTCAGTAATGCGCGCTGAGAACGAGGAGATAATTAATATCATCGAACGTGTCTCGCGTATGAAATACCCTTTGCTAACTAAAGAGGTGGACGTTTAAGTAATGCGGAGGAGAAGAGAAAGAGAGGAAAACCGTGCTCGCGACGTACGCGAAGATGTAATCCAATGTGACACTGAAGCGGAAAGTAACGTCCCGAGGCAATGTAACGTCGACAGTGTACGACATGATGAACGAGCGCTCGCCGTGAATCATTTTATGAGTTTTATAATATTGGCCCAGGTTTATATAGTCTGCATCAAGAGTCACGCACTTTCACCGTGCCAATATAAGAAGAATGATGGTTTGTTTAAATATTACAGTCGATTCATAATTAAACGATGTTTAGTATGTGAAATAATATACATATATAACATTTTAAAAAACACCTTAATTTTTAAATAAATTTAACTTTAAATTTAAATTCAGTTTTAGACGTCAATAAAACGACAAATGCAAAGAGAGATATAAAACGGCATACCTCTTAATGCCATCATTAAATTCGGAGACACACGTTCCTGCAGAGATCCGCCATAAAATCGCATACGCGAATCGCCGCTAAAAATTCCAGATACACGCGGTTTCACTGATGTAAGGAGCGGCCACGGCTGAAAGGGTTAAAGCGGGGAGGAAGGCGGAGAGAAGTCGGGTGTAGAAGGCCGCGAAAACGATGTCAGCACGAAGAAACGCAATGCAAGACAAACGGGGGCGGGCGGGGGCCGAAAAAGAGTGTAAAGCTGGTTCGCGCGCGCGCGCACGCGGTTTTCTCCTTGGCCTCTGGATTGTGATCGTTGCCATCGGAGCAAGTCCAGCCGAGCAAGCAGCCGCATCGCGCCGGTAGCCTCAAGGGGCAGAAAAACGAAAAAGAAAAAAAGACACGCACAAAGCCGACGCCACTCATGGCGAACGGATTTTTATATCGAGCACGTATGGAGCTGCGTGCGTAATGCGTGTGCACGATGACTCGTTCTACTGCAACATATAATAGATTATATGGTATTTAACCCTGCGTAGATTACCCTGCATAGATAATACGTAAGAATTAGAAGATAATAAGAATTTTTTAATGGAGATTATTTTTTTTATTATTTGAAGGAAATGGTAAGATTGACGAGATAATAAATTGAAACTATCTAAAATAAAACACAATGGGTTTTCTTTCTGCAGACTTGCTTTTTTTTTATCGGAATCAAATAATGCTAAATCCAATAATATAAACGTTCATTAATATACTTTTAGATTAATATTTCTTTCGATTAAAATTTAATTGCACGAAACATAGTTTTTAATACACGATAATACACGATGCTGTATAATTCTCGCAAATTATACTGATTCATCGCGAATTAATACGAAAAGAAAAGAAAATCTGAATTTTCATGTATGCCACAGCTAAATGGACGGTCGAAATCGTATGCGGGATGATTTTGAATGATCGACACGTACCGGATTGTGCGCTTGTAAGGTGAAGAAAGCGGGTGCGCGTTTCAGTGATGAACTCCTTCCTCGAAGAGAGGGAGCGCAAAGGTATACTTTGTCCAGCGTTGCACGTATCGCATCGGATTTCACGTGAGGTCTGTGGTTCCTTGGGAATGGATACTCGGTTATGGGTTACGATCGCGGCAGTTTGCACATATACTCAGTCACGGCTGGGATACTACAGGGATATATATAAGACAAATATATGTATACATAATACACGTGAAACCTTTCTCTCTCAATCCACTGATTAATCTTTAAAAAAAAATATCGATATAAAACAAACTCTGAAAGACTTATACAAAAAATTAATGATTAAAAAAGACACGAAATATGCAAGATAAAAATGAAAAATGTGTGTATATACGAGAGTTCATAATTATAAATAATATCAATATCAAATTGAATAATAAAAAAAAAAACATTAATTTAAAAATATTGGAAAAAATTTGTATATTTAAATTCTGTCAAAATATATTTAACCGCATAAATAGATTATTCTAAGTCAATAGATGTGCATATTAGTAGACGTAATTAACCATCAGTTTATGCTAGAGAGATAATGGATATCTGTGAGTCTCAATTACGGACTGTTTTTTGTACACTGTTTACGCCCACAATTAAATGATGCATTAAGAAAAGCAAGATCTATTCCGAGCAAAGTGCAGCTATTCCGATGACGTAGGATTGTCAATAATCATTGGTAAATTGACGATTTATTTAGCGACGAGAAATCTGCGCTTATTGATGTTAGCAACGATAATTTTTACATAGTTTCAATGCGTAAAATCCACGATAACAGATAGATTAATTATATTGTTATATTGTTGTCATAAATAAATAAATATAAAATACACAATATATAAATAAAATTAAAAAATATACTTATTAAAAATATATATCAAAATTTATTAAGAGAAGATATGCATTTATAAGTCTGTAGTAAGATTTCCAGCGTCCATACTGTTTTACTGACAGCTGTTAATTGCAAAATTTCTAAATTTTTCATAATATCGTATTGTATTATTGAAGTTTTCCTCTCTAAAAATTCTCTTAGATTGCTCTACAAATTATTTCAATAATCAAACATAAATTTGCATGATATTCATTATTATTATACCAACAGTAAATAAATGAGTTTTCATCACGTACTATCTTACTATTACGCCAGCTTCCAGGAGACTCCATCTGTGAAAAGCTAAGCGAGTCGCTTTATGGTAAATTCCAAGTTATTAAAAAAATAAGTTCTATGAAATATACTTTGGTCACGGTATAAAAAAATTGTATATTATTTATTTTTTTGAAGAAATTATATATATTAAACTTTTGCTAATAATTAAATTTTTATATTTCAATGAATATTCCTTTTTGTTTTCTATCTTATATACTTCTCTGTCAAGATTGTCATAAATATTTCTTATTGTTAAATATATAATATAACATAATCAATGTATCTCTTATTTGATAATTATAAAAATCATTATAATAAATACAAATATCATATTAATATTTGTAACGATGTTCTTGACGCTTCACCAGAGAGTTCATTCTTCCCAAATAGTTCAGTATAGTTCAGTCTGAAAAACAGATTCGTGTTGAGCATTTCATCAAGATAAACTCGCGTTCGATCGAGAACTTTTAAAATGACAGAACTCTTACCTGTATACGTCGCATCGTACGAGTTTGCTGATTGCCTCGGATAAAAACGGAAAATCAGAATATGCAATGGTCGGGAGAGATTCATGCACGATCGCAGCTGTGCTGATGATGGCTCTAACATGCCCTTACCTCTCCGCCCTATATGGATCTTAAGGGAAATTTTCTCGTGAAGAAAGAAGCAGGGGATCGAAGGTTGAGAAAATTGTGCGTTTATTAGTGAAGACGACGTTCGAGCAATCTCACCGCTTAATTTCATCGACGATGCCGACGCGAGGCCTCCGGAAGCCGCGTTGAGATCCTAAATGAACAGCCCTGCTGGAGACAAGAGAAGAGAGAGCGAAGAGTCCGAGCATTCTCCTCGACATTCTATATCACAAAATTTCTATATCACATACTTCTTGCGATTTGCTTACAACAATCGCAGCAAGTAAAAGCAATTAAATATATTTCTCTGCCTATATAAAAGAGTTTATAATAATAAATGTAATGCAGAATCACGCAGTAGCAGTAATAATCACGACGATAATAATAACAAAGACAATAATAATAAGGCATTCACAAGTCATAAAGAGACATTTACACTTATTTATACGTATATCGTTATCGCTCTATCCTCTCCTCCTCTCGCTCTAATTGCGCAATTCTCGTTGCTTACGATATTCACTATATCACGTTCGTCTTCCGCTTCGGTGTCACGCGAGTACGGCATTATGTCAGAATTAAGATCGACTTGAGAGTTATCCACTAATTACCGTCGTTTTTCGTTTTCGGTCGCGGCGGACAGGCTGTCCTCGCGTCAAACAAAGAATCGAAAATTAAAAAGAGAGCATCGCGCCTCATTCTCTCACATTCTCTCTTTCTCACTGTTATTCCCACACGCTCGCACCTATGTGGAACATAGCACATGTTTTTTTGTATATTTATATATATATTTCTTTTCTCTCTTTTTCATATTTATATTTGTATTTGTATTTGTATTTGTATTTGTATTTGTATTTGTATTTGTATTTGTATTTGTATTTGTATTTGTATTTGTATTTATATTTATATATTTATATATTTATATTTATATTTATAATCATTAATCCTCTTCGTTCATTATATACCTATCTATATATTATCTACAGGGCAGTAGCCAAACGCTGACTGACTGTGCGAGTGTTGTCGCTTGTGCTGTCCGCTCGCGACGATGCCGACGATTTGACTAGAGAGATGCGCGCTCGTATATCGTCTCGCCCTCCCGTCATTTCGATGATCCTCGGGAGAGCACGTGCGCTTTTTGTGTGTGTTATGTATACGCTTGACATATCGCGAATGGAGATTGCGCGGGCGCGCAGCGATGCGCTCGAACTTTACCGCTCTTTTGGTCGTTTCATCGATGACGGCGAATATCATATCCCCGTTATCCGTCGTTGCATTTCCAGCATTGTGCAAAAAAAGAAAAAGTAAGTAACGAGTCGGTTTTTTGAGCTTACGATATGCGTCGACCAAGCGTCGCGATCGAGAAGAGAGAGCAAAGATCGGTCTCATGAGATATAACGGCAAGTTTACGTCTGACATTTTCATCCAACGAAACATGTGGCTGACACAAGTATTATAAACGCCGAAAAATTTCTTAGGGAGGGGAGACATTATATTAAGCTAGATTTATATTTAATATTAGCTCCATGATTTTTTCTGACACTTTTCTACCAACGTGCGCTCTCGTTCTAACACAATATCTGATACAAATTCTCTCTTCAGCGCGCTTACATTACTTACCATATCAAATATACAATGCCATGCAATAAATCTCAGACGTAGACTTACCACGAAAAGAATGTGCAAGATTTCTGGAAATGGAGGGTAAATCCGAAGGCGAAGGCAAATTGTCCATGTGACGGGCGATTTGTCGAAGCGCATCGCGGCCGAGAAGAAATTTTGGCGGCGAGCAGGCATCGCGACGCGAATCGCTCGCGATCACCGATGACGATCGAGTCGTCATGATTCTTTTTTATTTTTATTTTAGATTCTATTCCGTACTTATGTATATACTTATGAATTAATACTAAGAATTGCGTTCGCGCCGTGATGACTCACCGCTTTACGCCCTTTTACTTCTCTCTCTTTCTCTCATTATGTTTCTTTTTTCTTTTTTTTCCGTATCAATGATGACAATCTAATTTCGACGCCTTGATTTCGCGTGAGTTTGCGGGACACTTGTTATTTTTTTCTCGTGTTTAGGCCTTTTTTTTCCACAATCACGCGTATCCGGATCGCATTTTCGCGTGATGATGACTAGATTTTACACGAGCGTACGCGCATTACGTCAGCGTGAGTACGTGTGTGCGTGTCTCCTGTACACGTATACATATGTATGTGCGTGTATTTCGTGTGATTGTGTGCGCGTTTGTATGTAACGTATTCATCGGATTGAGTCGTTCTTCTCTTTGGTGATCGTCAAATTGGTTGGCTTCGACGCACGTTCGATCTTTGGTGTGTTCTCGCTGGCAGTAGCTCGATATCCGCCATGGGGATGACGCACCAGAAGCGAAGAAAATCACCGTCCATCGACAATTCTTCTGAAAGCGCGATGGAAGCGAACGCCGAGGTATGTTTGATGAAGAACCGCAATCTCCTTCTTTTTCTCCCCCTTTCTCTCTCTTTCTCAAGGCTCTTCTCGTTTTTCTGAATAAGTACGTATGATTCTCGCGATCCTATCTTCCTCGATGAGGAAGACTCGGACACGGACTACTGGCGATTATAGAAAAATGCGCGATCATAAAAAATACGTTATGTTTACAATGCGTTACCCTGACGTTACAGCGGGCTGTAAAACGACGTTGAGACTCGATTTTCTTCCAATCGTGGAAGATAAATGTCGCAGAAATAAGAGAAAGAGAGCAACCGGCAAATTCGATCTTGAGCAGATTAAATCTATACTCTCGACGAGCTCCTATACGCGCGTTAATCTAACGATAAGTTCACAGGAGATACGATCGATGAGATCCGTTCAAAAGCGTTCTGAGAGAGAATGAGTATCCATTGTTTCGCGAAGCATCGATTTGCGAGCTCGTACTACTTATCTCTCGCGGTAAAAATTGTATATTCTCGCGGAATTTCGAACGGACGACTATCATATGCAGCGATTATTATCATTGCTTCAATCAAACACCTCAGATAACTGCAATCGTATGCTACATATTACGAACATCTCGTTTTGTTGCATATATTAGATTTAAACCAGATGGTCAACAACTCTTTTAGTACAGCGAGTTCAATTGGAATCACATTTTTCCTATTTTACACACGCGCACTTGATTGAAAAATAGGTAAAAGGATTTTTCTAATTTTTCTTCTTTTTTTCTTTCAATATACTTGCTAAGAAATAAAGAGATATTTTAACTATTTGTAATGAATCATGAGATACATAAGCTATGTGATTCGAATCGAATTCGCTTTCAATCCGAGAAGAGCGAAAAAGAGGAAGAAAGTCGCGAGCTCGAGTCGATCTCCTACGCGAACCTCTAAACTGCAACGGCAACGAGAATAGATTGTGTGGCTCGAAGATCGACGAACTCGAGAGATCGATGGTATTCGCGACGGTGTCCGTCATCCCTGTGCGATCGCGTGACCTTTCTTTCTCCGGTTACGATCCACCGCCCTGCGTGCATTCGCTTGCACCGAATCTCTGGAAGTGGAACGCCGCGATCTGTGATCTACGCGATTGACCGCGATCGCGATTTCGTCGTACGTTCAATCCACCATCATCATTATCATCATCAACATTATCATTATCATCACCATCATCATTATCGCTGTTGTAATGGCTCATGTGCAATGACGAGCGCGATTACGTGGCCCCGTTGCGTCTTCGCGTGGAAGAGCGAATCACTAAACAAGCTCCTGGCTCCCGTGTGTGAGCGATTCGACAAGCGATCAGAAAGATCGTCGTCGTCCATTCTAGGGGAATGGCTCCTCCCGGGAGGGATTAATTCCATCGACCATGTCCGCTCGGGCAATGATTCTTCACCTCGACGGAGGCTCTCCGTCGAGGGGAGTGTTGCCAGTCGCGAACTCGCCGCCGAATGATTCTCGGCTGATCGACGCATGGTCTGGTCTGAAGGTGCTTTTGGTTTTGGAGGTCTTGGTCCGCGCCCCCAATGTCCCTGGACCATCCGTCACGATTACGTTGCCCCCCGCTTGCTTTTTGTCTTCCCGCTACCGTGCTCCTGTCCGGTGCTCGGGCTGGGTGGACTGCTGCTATTCAATCTGGCTACCCTCCGGTAAATCTCGCTGTTGACGAAACGCGGATAAGAGTCCCGATGCATAAGGGTGTAGATTTGTAGCTGCGCCTCGTCGAAAGTATGCGGCGTAGGTTCCACCATGTTGCGATTTACGATCTCCCGTACCCGCGAGTCCAGACTCACCTGCGAAAGATAAAGAGAATGAGTTGAGTGAAATTTCCTGACACATATCATCAGTTCGTCTTTTTCACTTGTATAAGAATATCCTGCGAAATTGCAAGCTTTTCTATCGCTTTAAAGCTTTAATCTATAGCGCGCTGTTTGCGTGCAACATATCTTTTTCGCATAAAATAATATTTTATGATATCTTACACGCGTCTTATAAAAAGGTGTTATATAACAAAAATTATAAATCTATAAAATCTTATGTTTTTAATCGAATAAATAATTATGATTTTTAAAAATAAACACATGTCTAATAGTCTAAGATAAATAAACAATCTACAATCTTTTGACCGATTTCAAATCGATTTTGCTTTAGCAGAAATGGCAAAGCTCTAACATGTTCAAAGTTATAAACGATTCATAATGAAAAGCTTCCCGAGAATTATGGGCCGTGATGTATGCACGAGACGCCTTTAGCACAATCTTTTACATTATCTCATAAAAATATCTACATGATTGCAATAACGTACGGACGTGTACTGTACAATTTGCCATAATGTTCGAATGATAAAAGACGGTTCGTGCATTTGCCCCGTTTGGACGATTGAATAGATTGTTAAAGGGGTCACTGGGTCACTAGGTCAGTAGGTTAATATAGAAGAAATCACATACACAGTCACACGCGCGCCTGCAATTTTTCTCGCGAATGGAACATTATATTGTAAAAGTATATCGACCGTTGCATCCCCTCATGTCACATCAAACACTATTCAATTTTATTGCATTATTTTTTATAATTCTTACGCGCTCATAACAATCGACTTTTTATATCCGATAAAATCGCGCAATTAGATTATGCATCCTATGTAATTTTATCAATTCTATCGTCAAAATTAATAGCTTTAGAAGGATAAGTAGGAATTGTTTTATATCATGAAATATTAGTGCCTATGCATCGTATCAGCTGGTTAAAATAACAGATACCGATCGCATGCCGTTATATATGTCATTATATTTATTAAAGCAAACAAGAAAAATTTCTTATGTATATATCAATCATGTTCAACGATAAGAAAACTTGTTGAGAAAATACTGTTAATATATATGCGATTTAAATTTTATATATTTTGATATTAAAATAATATGCCAATATCAGAAATGATTGCTTTATTTTTGTGAGTAAAATTTTATTAAAGCGATGTAAATGATTGCAAGAAAAACATATGTGTGTGTGATTTCAACAAAATGAATCGATTAATTTCAAATACTTTAAATTCAATCTTCAAATAAATAAAACCGATCTGAGAATAGCATGCATTTGAGAAAATAAAAACTTGTCTAATAAATATATATAATTGTTTTAATTTATAATTTTTTCTTTAATAGATATTGTTCATACTTATTCTTAAAGAAATTACTATTTGAATACATTGAATACTATATTATTTGACAGAGAGAGAAACTATAATCATTGAAATATTATTTAATAACTGCCATAATAAGCAAATATTAATTCCACTGATTTTTTTCTAAATCTTTTAACGATTATACTTAATGAGTATGTATATATCCTCGCGAGAGCGAGAACGGGATTCTTTTTACTCACTTCTTTCGGCGAAAGTATGGATATGTATTCCTCGTAAATGTAGCGCGCCTTCTCCTCGATCGTCTCGGGATTGCTCTCACGCTTGAGTTGCTCACAGGCCAGCCAGAAGGCGATGTTCTCCTCGCTGTACTCGCTCACGAGGAACTCCTTGAAGAGCTTGCGTCCGGCGGCGCTCCTCATTAGTTTGTCGAAGGACGAGCCCCAGGCTCGGACATCTTCCAAGCTGCAACACTCGAGGCCACCGTCGAGGCCATCGGATCCGTCGAGACCGTTACCTGCACCTGCGCCCGCGAGATCGGTGACGCCGATGCCGCCACCATGCTCGCCGCCGACGCCGGCGTTGCCCTTCTTCTTGCCTTGATCACCCGCTCCACCGGTGCCCGTCGAATTACCACCGACCGCCGCCAAACTAAAACCATCAGCACACGTTAGGTCTCGTTGTCGTTCATGACATATAAAATTATGGAAATTGTTAAATGTATAATAAATAATAAAATGAAGCGATGATTTTTTTTGCGATGACTAAATAACTACCAAATTATTAGCTATTTTATTATTTGTTATTCGAGAATATATGTGCAGTTTTTATCTCTAATATTTGGATTTTTATTATATTTATTACTCCAAAATTAAAGTAAAGATTTAGGAAATGATTAAGAATGTGCGGATTGATTATTTTGTATCTTTTTGCTGTAAGTGGTATAATCCACTTTACAGTTTCTGATTATAACAGATGATGGATAAGTTCGGTTCTAGAAAGATCAGAGTGAAATTTACCACAAGTTATCATGTCGATATCGATGAATCATCGTATTAATTATAACAATCATACAATGATATTATCTGGTTATTCTTGTTTGACAAACATAAGCATGATAGAAGGAACACGAACGCGAAAATAGTGATAAAAAGCGGGTAGGAGAACAGGGATGTGTGGAACTGAAAATTAAACTTGGTAGCCTCGGACAATGAAATAAAATGAGCAACAGGAAAAAGGAATATAATCCACTGGATGAGCACGAATGCAATGGGGAATGATATAATGAACGACTGATGTTAAGATAATTAATTTAACTGAGACTGTGTGGATAACGCGAGATACAAAGAGAAGTGAAAAGACGATATTGAAATGAAAGAAAATATTAGTCGTGTCGATAACAGACGCGGAACCGGGTCATTGGAAAACTTTTTTCATGTTTGATGACGCAGCTGTTCTATGGCATTTACGAATCACAAATGCAGAAATAAACGGCGATCATAAACGATTTATACGATTTGGTCAAATGACGAAGATGACTCTCTTTCTGCTACCTCCTCCCTCCCCCCCCCCCCCCCCC